GCAACAGTATGAATATGCATAGCTTATTTTCCAGTGTGAATATCAAACTTTTTTATCTAATGAGAAATAATTGACAGCATGTTCTACTGTATAACTGTTTAGGAACATCAAAATTTTGTGCTGAAAAATGTAGATGTAATGAAAAATATTTTTTATTTGTGAATACTATTATTAAAATAAAATCAGGAGAATCTGTTGCTTGGGAAGCCAGAAGTAATTGGGAGAGGTGGTCAGTGTAGTTAGATCAGTGCTTCTCAATCTTTTCTAATATTATTCACCCATATAAGTTTTTCACAACAGCTCACTCACCCCAGTTCGAAAAAAAGAAAAAAAAGTATCAAATTAAAATGCAAAATTCTTTATCATGATTTAAATGTACATCAAACTATAAATATAAATTAAGTATAATGAATACAACATAAAATAAACAAAAAATTTATTTATCAAAGTACAATAAATAACAATAATTAATGACGTTTTTTGCTTTTGAATTTGTTGTATAATTGATAATACTCATTCACCCTGCTACTCTCTCCCCACCTTTCTCATTCACCCTGATTCTGTTCTCATTAACCCCTGGGTGAACCATTCACCCAGTTGAGAAGCACTGGGTTAGGTAACGAGTTAAATAACAAAAGGTACTTAGTGAGTGTTGAACACTGTATTATATTGGAGTATAGAGTGCCTATATTAATAGTACTTAGATTTCATACAGTTTTATATGGAATAACTAGTCAGCATGGTTAGCAAGTAAATAATTATGTTTCTTTTAACGAGCCTTTCCTGTATTCTATATATTTTTCAAGTACTATAGAAACATATTTTTTGAAATATGCATTCTTGCAAAAATATCTAATTCCATTTTGCTGAGTCATCTGAAATGTACAATATTTGCTTATAAACTTTAGAACATACAATAAAAGATAAGCTAAGTTTCTAAAGGGGACTATGTTTATTTCATTTTATTTTTTGGCAACCCTTTGCCTTTTTCAGCCCGATATCTCGGGTTTTTCCAAAGGCAAAATGACGACATCGAGTTTCGAAAAATTCGATGTGACCTTTCCCTTCGAATTACCTACAAAATATAATTATAACTAAAATGTTGAGGTTTTAAATGTTCTTTTCTTATAAGTAATTAAAAAATCGGAACTGATGGACCTAATTTTCGATTTTTGCTCTGTAGTGTAATTATTACTGAGATAGTTGAAATCATTAAATTTCCCGCTTGCACAGATACAACTTGTCAAAGTACGAAACGATAGTACGTTGGTCAATTTGGTCATTGTGATTTTACTAAAAACATAAAATTAATGAAAACTTTCTGAAGAAAAAATAATCACAGTTTCTTAGAGCTTCTTAAGTTATGTTTCATAAGTTTCCTTTATAAAAAAATCTTTGCCAACAAGCCTATCTGTCTGCCACTCCTTTGCCTCCCATTTTCGTAATCCTGAAATCGCCATTGAAGCTGGCCCTTTTAAATATGCAGCAAATGAAAAATTTGCTGTTCACTATTCTACCAATTCACTTTATAAATTATTTTAAACTGAAGCTGATATTCCTCCCATAATACCTTTCCGTCGTAATTTGTTGGCTTACTAACTGAATGAAGTTTCAGCTGGCTGTAACTTGATGAAGCTGTGGTGTAGTTGAAGAAGTCTTTCTCAGTCATAAGTCGTACAAAAATAGTAATAGGTGATTTTTCTATTCCATATGATTTAGTAAATACGTTTGAGGTTGGAATTTTTGAGAGAATGTAAAGAGAGTTTGTTTGTCTGTTATGGATTTCGCGCAAAGCTACACGAGGGCTATCTGCGCTAGCAGTCCCTAATTTAGCAGTGTAAGACTAAAGGGAAGGCAGTTAGTCATCACCACCCACCGCCAACTCTTGGGCTAATCTTTTACCCGCAGATTGCGAGTCGAGCGCCCTAACCACCTGGCCATGCCGAGCCTGTAGAAAGAGAAAGAGAATTGGCTAATTCATTCCTTGCCTTTGCTGGTTCAGGTTCCAGATGTTTTATCGTGACACTGAATTATTTCTGTTTTTCTTCAATCGAACGATAATTTTCAACAAATTTTCAATTTCGCCTCAAGTTAAGTCGCGTGTCGTTATGTTGAAGGGGAGTTTTTATTTTATTTTATCAAAACAAGTGTTTAATTTTCTAAACTTGAATTTCTAGAACTTACACGGTTTCACGAACTCATGATAGGCCTAACTTCACAAATAATGCTAATTAGTCAACTACTTATAAATTTTCTCGTGTGTACGACACTTTTCGCGTCTTTAATACTTCGTTAAAACAGATACTAAAAATTTACAAAATTAAAGTAATAGAAACCAACTAACGAACGTACTGACTCAATAATCAATTTACCATCGTAACACATTTACTAGCCAATCAGTAATCTACTGCAATCTTAATTACTTCGTGATTTATATCGTTCAAGTCGTTTCCTATGCTTTAAATAAAATTCTCGTTAATCCATGCTTTTATTACGTTAAAACTCCCCCCAGACAGAAGTTAAAAAACTTCTGAGTTAAAAAAACATAGATTACAAAATATAGATGAGTTTAACATTGTTTAAAACATTTGATCAAATTATCAAACTTGATGACGGATGGTTGTTTATTAATTGGAAGTACAGTTATATTTTCAATTCATTATTTGATACTAATACAATGATTAGATGTCATTGTCAATAACAAAACTATTTAATGCCCAGTTTGATATTTATACAATGTAATTTAACGTTTTCGATTGCCCCCCAGTGGCACAGCGGTATGTCTGCGGACTTACAACGCTAGAATCCGGGTTTCGATACTCGTGGTGGGCAGAGCACAGACAGCCCATCGTGTAGCTTTGTGCTTAATTACAAACAAACAAACGTTTTCGATTAGCCTCTGAGCTATTCAAATTAGCCCTCACACACGCACAAGAAAGCAAATTAAGTAATGTTTAAAAGTACGTTTACTGATTGTACCAGTACTTTACCTGAGATTATTACTTTTCAAAACAATCATATATAAATGTACAAAATAATATTCTAAAGGATACTTTACAATACTGGATACAATGAAAAGAGAAATATATTTATTTCATACATTTCCTTTACCAATGTCCTGAAAAACATTTTGGTAACGTTAAATTTAAAAGTGCAAACCTACAAAAAATAAATAGATGATTTTTTTAGAGTATTATTGGATATCTTTTTACATTTCCATAACTTTCTGTGGCTAACCTTTACATGGTTAATCCAAATTTATCGGTAACTAGACAACCCGTGATCCGTTGGGTCACCCACTACTCAGAGGTTATGAAGAATTCAAGCTAATTTCAATATTGCACCAAAAGAAACAGTAACACTTTATTTTTTCTTCGAATTACCTACCGTAACCAAGTCATATTATTGAGAAATTCTTCAAGATCTTGTTTTTGTCATTTTACGCCTTTTAATGAAGATGGGAAAATTGACAGAGAAATAGATTTGAACGAAGAAGTTTCGTAAAGAGTGTGATGTAAAATTACTCATGTTAAAAATTTTCATAAAAGTGACCCGAAAAATGGCGCTAACTTGGTAACCCGTGGCCTTATGTTAACGAAACTTGTTTTATTCTGTTTCTATTCTCATCTCTGTGCGCCATTTTTGTTGTATTTAATTACAGACAAGCAAACAAACAAACAAACAATCTCACAGTTTTAGTAGTATATAGATGTTGACATAAGTGACTATAATATTAAAACAAATATCAGCCAATACTACTCACCCAGTCCCTTCATAGCCTTTCTCAGGGATTGGGCATCGGCCTCAGGATTAAAAGGTTGATATGGTAAAATTGTTCCTTGTTCCTACCAATTCAAATAAAAGATGAAAACTTACAGGTGCTTTTTGATTTATCACCAGATAATACAAAACCAATGAAAACATGAAATAAGCTGTTTCAGAACATTAGCCAATAAAAAAAATATAAATAAATTTCCTGTGAATACTATTTTACTATATAGTTTGCCATTACAGTAATTACAAGTAAATAGTTCACCCAAATTTTCTTGCTCTGATGATTTTCATTGAAAACAAAATACATATTAACCTTTCCAGAAACATATAAGTAATTAGATAATTACATAATTAAGTACATAGATGAATAGAAATTTAATATGATAAAGGCCTATATTTAATATATTCATTCATTTCCTTCGAAAAATTATATTTATAAAATTATTTTTTTAAGAATATAACAAAATAGGTTTAAAACAGCAAATTACTTAATGTGATAACGAAATTTTCTACATAACAATTCGATTCTATAAGGTTTTTGGTATTAAATAGTTCAATAATAAAATTTTAAATTGGTTGGTTAGTTGATTGATTGTTTTAGAGCAAAGCCATATTGAGCTATCTGCTTATGCGAACCCCGGACTTTAGCGTTATAAGTCCGTAAACTTACCGCTATCTCACCGGGAAACGAAGTATATAATTCAGCATTTTCTGTTTTAAACTATTGATATCAACAACTTTGTGAAAATATGAAAGTTTTGAATAACTTGCTTATTTATTTTCATCTTCTAATCATGCATAAATACAGTTTTCAGTATTAAAGAACCCAATTTATGGAAACCTGTTGAGCGCGTATTATTTAATTGTTCATAAACTCACCTTCCAGAAAGATATGAAAATGAAATTAAAAAAAAAACCAACAACTGAAAATTCTTAAACAAGTATTTGTTGATGAAACTGTAGACGAATTTTTTATTTAAATAAGCACTCCTTCCGAACTTCACGAACCATTAGTTAAAAACATGCATCCTAGAAATATGTCCGATTTAAGGAGGCAAAAGAGTGTAACGCAAAAAAATTAAGTTGTTGAAAGTATCACACACGTATAGAAAAGTGGCTCATATAATTTTCAGTAAACACAAATTTGTACTGTACAAAGAAGAAAAAGTTACAAATTTTGATGTTTTTCATAATATTTCGAGAACATGGTTTCTATATTAATGTTATAAATATTTTCACTCTAGCTTTACTCCATATTTCTACATATGGTTTGTATTAAACCAAGTGTTCCACAAATGCTTAAGTAAGCATTTCCACATAATACATGATAGGCTTTCTTTCTATTTTCGGTTATTTACATCGCGATTTCGAGTCATGAATACGTTAAGCCTTTAGTAAATTGAAATTGCAATATGATACTTAGGTTTTTATTTTTATTTAGTTTCCTCTTTCAAGTGATTGAAAACGCGATACGTGTAAAGCTTTTTTTTTTTCGCTTGTATTAATTAAGTATTTATTCTATTTTATGATATGTCTTCTTTAACAACGAAACTGCATATTACTTAACGTTAAGTGTTATTCCATTTTCTCTCATTTCGATTGTTTATTATTGTCTGAAACTGCTTCAGCAATTAATTATCAAGAATGATTGAAAATGTAACACCTGTAAACTTTTTTTTGTAATTGGTTAGCTTTGATGTCATTTACTCTTTAATAATCAAACTGTATTGGAGAATATACTATGGTAATCACAAAAAAAACATTGTATCTCATTGTTTCTAACTTGTGAAATGTTTATTACAGAGAAATACACAAGTATATATAAATATGGCCATGCAACGTTTCGACCATCTAATTAGATGCAAGAGAAAATAATGATGATTTGGCACATTAGAGAATACAAGATGTATCCTGCCGGAAAATCTGTGACCGATATATTAATTCGAAAATACGGTCGAAATGCGTTATTATCAAACTGTATATTGTTACATATCTTATCAAATATGTTGTGTTATTGACGTTTATTTAATTATATTGATGTGGAATCAACCCTTATCGTGATATGATGTGTGAAATGCACAAATGGAGTTACTTCTACCACACTTGTCTCATATTTTTCGTCAAACAAAGATAATTAATGCTAGTGAATACTAATTCTGGTTAAAAGTTAGCACACAGGATCACAAACAAAAGTTGTAATGGTTTTCAAACAAGACACAAAACTCGAGCGCTTTCGAATAGTTCACTATTCTTCTTCAAGATAAGAATAGTGAACTATTCGCAAGTGAATACCAATTATACACTTACGTAACAAGACATCTTGGTTAAACACTATAGCTGAACTGGCTCAGTAAAGTATGCTGTAGCAGGACGGTGTACGGTGGAACCTATTAGAATAAGAATAATAATTTGTTTTATAGAACTTGAAAATGCAATGAACTGTTTTCGAGCTAGGTCCATCAAAACCATTTTAACATAGCTATCTCAACTCTTACAGTTCTCGAATTGCATGTGTGTTTTTGTTTTATATATTAAGTTGTGTTGATACTATGTTTTACATTTTTTTTTATCTTACACAACATTTGTTGTTGTTTTTTCATTAAAATGTCTGAATTACTCGACAAATATCGGATTTCTATGTATTACTACATTTGTAACAGCATTCAAAAATATTTTATTAAATAAGTTACAGAAAAAAATGCAGTGTTACGACAGCGGAAGTCACGCGACTCTGGAAGCATGCGTGCTGGAGGTCCTAGAAGGATCATGACTTATCAAGGAACCTCACGAATGTCCGAGTGTTTGCCAGGCGCCATCTTGTTTTAGTATATAAGCCCAGCAAATAAAGTCAGCGATAGATAGATTGAAGATAGAGATAATTGAGTCAAGCGAACAGTGGGCACCGTAAGTAAAGTGTGTGAATCACTGTGATTTTTAGCGTGTGTTATAAAGGTTGTTAAGTTTAAAGTGACTGTGGAAATTCTGTGTTTTACAAAAAGTTGTATCAAGAAATAATAAATTAGTTGTAATTAAGAAAGGACTTGTATCGCTGAAGTTCCTCGGAAAGAATTTATACCG